TTCAGCAGCTGTTGCAGCCATTTAGGGAGTGAATCAACGGATGGAAGACCTCTCTTTCTGTCTCTGTCTCTCCCTCTCTCTCTGTGTGTAACTCTCCCTTTCAAATAAATAAATAATAAATCTTTAGAGGAAAAAAGAAGTCAGCTAAAAACTAAATCGTATGCTCAGGGTGTAATTGGCTTTCATTCTGGTATGAGCTTTCATCTCGCTGCATATCTGTACTATATTTTAAGTTTCTAGTATATTGATCTTTCATAGTCATACATAAGTAACTTCAGCATGTAACAAATACTAGTTACAAAGAAAGTTGGGTTCTATGAGTTTGATGATCAAGGATCAAAGAATTGCCAGGGGCAGGGGCAGAGCAAGGTTAGATGCGGCCTTAGTTTGCCCAGAGCATCTTCAGCGACTCCACCCAGTGCTTTGATAAGGACAGCCCAGGAATCTGAATCTTGCATAAAATGAGTGCTGGTCAATTGCCACTTTGGGACAGCTCTCAACCGGAACACAGGCCACAAGCCCCACCTGCTTAGAACTCGAAATGGAACCCTTTTCAGGCTTTTTTTTTTTTTTTTTTGGCACCTTTCAAGCTTTGCAACCTTGCACCTGGACCTACCTGTAGCGCTGCCTGACTCACGGCAAGAGCTGATGCTGTCCTTTAAGGGGTGTGCATGCCTTGCCCCCAAGACCAGGGTGACTCCTCCCTCGGCACTCTGTCCCCCAAGAACACCCTGGCGAACTGATGAGAACAAACGTTCTTTGCTGCACATGGCCAATGGCACTCAGTCCAAGAAGGGTTAAAGCCGGCTTCCTGTCTCTGCTGGGGGGTCAGGCTGGATGGGGTGGCTCCGCCATGCTTTGTTGATTACAATCTCCCACACCCAGGAGGCCCTGACTGGGTTTGACATAATCAGCTCACAGCCTCTGCCTGCACTCTTTCACAAACAGGCCATTTTCACATCTTTTTCATGGGATCCGACAAGCGGAAAAATAATTAATGTTACCTCAGCCCGACAACGACCCTGGCTCCGATTCAAAAAGAAGGCATGTTGCATAAACTGCCCTTTAATTGAGGGTTGGGGCAGACCTCACATACTCCTGTATCGGTTCTGCCTCCCTGGCCAGGGATGATTAAGGCTTTCCTGAGACCACGGACCCCTGGTCACTGAGTGCTACTCAGTTTCAGGTTCAAAGAGCTTCCGTGAAAGAATTCCGTTCATGGTATTTGGCAAGCACAGACCTGTTGACCTGTCAGAGAATTCCAGGCAGTACTGTTGGTTGTTCCCATTTTCTTGATAAGCACAAAGTGACTTCCTTTTATTTTTTGTGGAAGACACGAAATTAGAACTCACAGCTATGTTTAATATGCTTCTTGTCTCTTGAAAAAGAGAAGCTACTTTAAAAAAAATCATAGAAATCTACTTGGTCATCTACACTGGTGCTGTGAACATAAAATGGTGGAGCCCCTTTGGGAAATAATCTAGAAGTTTCTCCAATGTCAAGCATAGGGTTATCCTCTGCTCCAGCAATTCTGCTTCTAGGTGCAAGCTCAAGAGACCTGGAAACACATACACACACAAACCTGGGTGCAGGTGCTCACTCATAGCAGCACTACTCGTAATAGTGGGATGAACACAATGATGAATGAACAAGGTGTGGTTCATCCTACAGTGGAGTATTATTTGATCATAAAAAGGAATGATGTAAATGATATAATATGAATGAACCTCGGAGGCCTTATGCTAACAAGTCCATCACACACACACACACATACACACACACACATCATATTATTCTATTATAAGAAATATCCAGGGAGTAGGTGTTGTGGCACAGTGGATTGAACTTCATACTGGAGTCCCAGCCACTCCACTTCCTTGTTGCTAATGTATCTGGGAAGGTAGCAAATGATAGATAGTTCAAGTACTTGGGCTCTTGCCACCTATAGGAGAAACCTGGATGGAGTTCTGAGTTCCTGGCTACAGCCTGGCCCTAGCTGTTGTAGGCACTTGGGAAGTGAATCAGTAGATGGAAGACTCTCTCTCTCTCTCTCTCTCTCTCTCTCTCTCTCTGCCTTTCAAATAAATAAATGCCTCTTCCTAAAAAAGAAAAAGAAATATCTAGAGTGGACAAATATAGAGAGATAGAAAGTACTTAGTGGTGGAAGGTTGGGTGGTGGATTGCAAAAGGAGATGCAAATATTCTAATATTGAGTGCAGCGTTAACTGTCTACTTTTACAAAGTGTGTGGCATCAGTGCCATGCAGTGCGTTCAGCTGATGCTTGGCCATGCCAGCATCTTACGTTGGAGTGCCAGTTTGAGTCCCAGCTACTCTGCTTTAGATCCAGCTCTCTGCTAATGCACCTGGGAAGTCAGTGGATGTTGGCCCAAGTGCTTGTGCCCCTGCCACCCACGTGCAAGACCCAGCTGGAATTGCAACTGCAGCCATTGTGATCATTTGGGAAGTGAACCAGGAAGATCTCTCTCTCTCTCTCTCCTGTCACTCTACCTTTCAAACAAATAAAAATATATTTTTTAAATGTCTGAGATATACCACTGTTGTTTAGAAAAATGAACATCAAGTTGCAGGCCAAGAACTGTGCAGACTCCCGTGATCTTCTGAGGGATCTGTGAGCTGTCATGCGATGATCACCACACACCTAGTGGCCTGGCTAACTCAGGTGCGATGGATCATACCAGTAAGAACAGGTGCCCGTGTTATCAGGATGCGGAGCATACGCGGCTAGTGGGAATGTCAAATGATCCAATTGCTCTGATCAAGGAAAACATACACTTATTACTTACCCAGCCACTTACTTACCCAGCTTGGCAGTCCCAGGCGTTTACTCACAGAAATTACACCTTACATTCACACACACAAAAGGAGCGAAGGATTGCTACAAGCAACAACTTGAGTGCATCTCAAGGACATTATGCTCTCTGGGGAAAAAATGCCAATTCCAAGGGGTTACATCCTTTATGAGTCCATTTCTATCGCATTGCGAGTGCTTTTTCAATTTTTTTTTTTTTTTAAATCCATGTGAAAGGCAGAGTCACAGTGACAGAGGCAGAGACACATGAGAGATCCTCTGTTGCCTGGTTCACTCTCCGAATGGCCACAATTATCAGGCCTGGACCAGGCCAAAACCTGGAGCCAGGAACCCCAGCCAGGTCTCACACATGGGCGTGAGAGATGTGCCAACAGAAAGCTGGGGTGGAAGCAAGCAGCGGGGACACAAACTGGCGCTGCAAGAGGATTCTAGCATCACAAGCAGTGACCCAACCTGCTGAGCCCCAGCACTGGCCCCTGTGTAACTCTCTTGTGATGATCTCTTCATGTGCCTGGAAAACAGCATCTCCACTGCTTTCCCAGGTGCACTAGCAGGGAGCTGTGTTGGAAGTGGAGCAGCCAGGACTTGAACCAATGCTTCTGTGAGACGCTGGCACTGCAGGTCGTGGTTTAACCAGCTACACCACAATGCAGGTCTCTCTGTGTTGTTTTTTATACTTTCTCATGAGTCAAAGTACTTTCAACTTTTTAAAATTATTAAAATATAACAATTAGAATATTATTTGTTAAACTTCAGGGGCCAGCATTGTGGCGTAGTGGGTAAAGCTGCAGTGTGCGACACCAGCATTCCATAAGGGCACTGGTTTGTGTCCTGTATGCTCCACTTCCGATCCAGCTCCCTGCTGGTAGCTTGAGAGAAGCAGTGGAGGATGGCTCAGGTGCTTTGGTCCCTGCTACCCATGTGGAAGACCCTGAAGAAGCTCCCAGCTCGTGGCTTTGGCCTGGCCCAGCCATGACAGTTGCAGCCAACTGGAGAGTGAACCAGAGGATGGAAGATGCCCCCCTAAACCCTGTAGTTCTTTCAAATAAACAATTACATCTTTTAAAAAAAATGCAGGAAGTGTCCACATAGAAAGCAATGCAGGAGGTTGGAATAGATAAAACATATACAAATACAGATGGAGCATTTGGTAGTGTAGTAGTGGGTTCATGGCTGATCTATTGTTTACATATGGATACAGATGTAGATATTGACAGAGATCTGGATGTAGGTGTAGGGATGGATGCACTGTTGAGAGGAGCGAGAAGCATGTATGTCAAAGCAACATTAAGAGTTAATGAAGAAGAATACTTTGGATACAAAGCTCTAAAATGTTATGTGTAAGGGAGCCCAGTCACATTTAAAGAACAAAGCTCTCAGCACAGAGGCACACAGATGGTTGTACAGGAGAGGAGAGGAAAAAGCAGAGAAAGAAGCCCAGAGACTAACAGTCCAAGTCTGTGAGCCTTTCCGGATTGTGCAGACAGAGGAAGTGGGAAAGCAAGAGAAGAGACCGAAATGGAATTTTCTCTTTTACTCTGCATTTTGTATTTAAAAAGAAAAGTTCCCAGTGCAGGCATTTGGCGCCGTGACTAAGATTCCTCTTAGGATGCCCACGGCCCACGTTGGAGTGCCTGAGCCCGAGTTCCAGCGCTGCGTGATTCCAGCTTCCTGCTGCTGCAGACTCCAGGAGGCAACAGGTGACGGATCAAGTGCCAGGATCCCTGCTGTCCACCTGGGATACCCGGATTGAGTTCCTGGCTCCTGGCTTTGGCCACCTTATGTGGGCATTTCAGGAGTCAACTGGTGGGTGGAATATTTTTTCTCTTTCTGTCTCAGTCTTTGTTTCTACCTTTCAAATAAATAAAAATAAATTTTAAAAAAGAAGATCTTCCTGTTAACAAAATCCTAAGCTGTATACGTTTAGCTTCATTGTACTGCTGGCATCACGTGGTCTTGCTCAGAGGGATGCTTACTCTGCACACGGTTGTGCGCCTTCCTGCCTGCAGTGTTTCGATGAAACCATCACCTGTGGACTCCGAGCCAGCTTTGTTGCGTTTATTCACGTAACATTGCTTCTGATTAAGGAACTTACAGTAAATGAGAACAGCATTGGGTTCACTTTATTTTTTAATAGAAATTTATTTTTATTAATATAAAGAACAGCTTCCGCCCGGCCGCCATCGGAAAGCTGCAGCCATGGCCCTGCGCTACCCCATGGCCGTGGGCCTCAACAAGGGCCACAAGGTGACAAAGAACGTGAGCAAGCCGAGGCACAGCCGCCGGCGCGGGCGCCTCACCAAGCACACCAAGTTCGTGCGGGACATGATCCGGGAGGTGTGCGGCTTCGCCCCCTACCAGCGCCGCGCCATTGAGCTGCTCAAGGTGTCCAAGGACAAGCGGGCGCTCAAGTTCATCAAGAAGAGGGTGGGCACGCACATCCGCGCCAAGAGGAAGCGCGAGGAGCTGAGCAGCGTGCTGGCCGCCATGCGCAAGGCGGCCGCCAAGAAGGACTGAGCCCCGCCCGCCCCAATAAACGAGTGCGCGAAAAAAAAAAAAAAATATATATATATAAATAAAGAACAGATTTCATTTTTTATAGGTGCAGTTTTAAGAAGATAACCATACTTCCCTCCCCGAATGGGTCCACTTTTCTTATCCTGCTCCCATTATCTGAAAGCAGAGTCTTAGAGAATAGTTATCGACCTTTTAAAAATTGCTCTGTTTGGGAGAAAGAGAGAAGAGAAAGATGGAAAGAGCTCCCATCTGCTGATTCACCCCCAGCCCCCAAATGATCACAAGAGCCCCTGGGAGCCGGGAACTCGATCCAGGTCTCCCGCTTGGAAGCAGAAACCCTATTATTTGGGCCATCAGCCCTGCCTCCAGGGGTCTGCATTAGCAGGGAGCTGGAGCCAGGAGCCAGAGCCAGAGCCAGGGATTGAACTGAGGCACATCCTATACGGGATTACGGGATGTGGACATCTTCATCACTAGCCTAGACATCCAGTGCTGGTTACCGACCTCTCCAGGATCGGTTGCATCACCGCCTGGCTCGGTAGAGCCGGGTGCACTGCTGCACCTCCACAGTACCCTGTGTCTGCAACATATGCTATTACTTCTCTCACAGCCGGGGTTTGCTGGGAGGATGAGAGCTGCCTGCTGTAGATGTGATCAAAATGGGCATGTGAGGAAGGTCATTCCGCATGTGCAAGATTGCTAGTCCAAGGGGCTGATGTTGACACGGCGAGTTAAGCTGCTGCTTATGACGCCGGCATCCCCTATCAGGGTGCCGGTTTGAGTTCCAGCTGTCCTGCTTCCAATCCACCTCCTTACTAAAGCACTTGGCAAGGCAGGGGAGGATCACCCAAGTACTTGGGCCCCTGCCACCTGCATAGTAGACACAGATGGAGTTCCTGGCTCCTAGTTTCAGGCCGGCCCACCCCTGGCTGTGGTAGACACCTAGGGAGTGACCCAGTAGGTGGAAGACCTCTCTCTGTCACTCTGCCTTTCAAACAAAGAATAAAGAACAAACTCTAAAAACTAGGTCTCAAAAACTTATAATAACAAAAATGGGGGCTGGCACTGTGGCATAGTAGGTTAAGCCTCCACCTGTGGCCGAATATGAAAGCTAGTTTGTGTCCCAGCTGCTCCTCTTCCCATCCAGCTCTCTGCTATGGTATGAGAAAGCAGTGGAAGATGGCCCAGGTGCTTGGGCCCCTGCACTCACATAGGAGACATGAAAGAAGCTCCTGGCTCCTGGCTTTGGATCAGCCCAGCTCCAGCTATTGCCAACATTTCGGGAGTGAACCGGTGGATGGAAGACCTTTCTCTGTCTCTCCCTCTATCTGCCTGTACCTCTGCCTCTTCAATAAATAAGTAAATTTAAAAAAAAAAAAAGGATTTTATCTGTAGACCAAACAAAAAAATATAGGCTCTGGGTCCTGGCCCAGGCCACTGAATTTGAGTGTTCAGTTCAGGGGCCAGGGGAGCTGGGCTTCTCACAGGCATCCCTGATTTGGGAAGCATTGTTGCAATGGCGGGCAGCCTTGTGAGTGGGATACTACTTGCTGGAGAGCTGGGTGGGGTCAAGTATTGAAGAGGGGTGGAGGAGTTCTCAGGAATCTCAAAAATCCCATCAGATAGAATCCCCCACCCAGGGAACCCTTGGAAGGCAGGTGGGGGGATGAGAGCCCTTGGGTGTAGGCCTCCCACCCCCCAGCTTGATCTTGCTGGAAGTTCCATAGATGGTTAGTGATCGGAGTCTCTTCTTCTGGGTG